TCTATTTATTGTATTTTCGAGTGTCTGCTTCCCTTTTTTTTTTTTTTTACGCCGCTCTTTTCTTTTTTCTTTCACAAAACAATCATTGACCATACGTAGAGGTCTTTAATGGTCTCCATAATAATAATAATAATAATAATAATAATAATAATAACAACAACAACAATAAATAAACTATGATTAATTCGACTCCAGCTCCCACACACACACACACACACAAGCATTCGATGGTTTGTTTATTTCTTTTTTTATTTATTTATTTATTTATTTATTGCGTCTTCTGCTTGCTTTAAGAAAAAAAAAATTCTTCCGTAAATAAAAAATGAATAAATAAATAAATAAATAAATAAATAATGGATAACAATAATAAATCGTTTGTGTATGTTTTATTATTGCGTTTACACGCGAATGCATTTTTTTTCGAATTACATAAGTTTCATTATACTTTAGTATTATCATTATCATCATTATCATTATTAATTTTATTAACATAAAAAAAAAAGGCCGGATTGTATGTTTTACGCATAGTCAAGTGAAACGCGAATATATTACGCGGTGTAATTACAATTAAAAAACGACCCATTAAGAATAATAATAATAATAATAATAATAAACGCGGTGCGATTAATGTAAAAAAACATTTCACAGTTTGCGATGGTTACGGTTTATCATTACTATTATTATTATTATTATTATTATTATTATTATTATTAATTTTACGTTAGATTATATATATATTATTTAAAAAAAAAAAAAAAAATGAAATTCTATCGTTTCTTTTCTATAATAAAGATCAAGGATAAATGGACACAATGAAATTTTAGACTTCCAGTGTCGATTCGCCGCGTGTTTATGTTTCCAGTCGTTTGTTTGTTTAAAATCATTTCCGTGTGTTGCTGGAGAAAATACTAAACGAATACGAAACGTATAAAATAAATGATTCGATTCGAAATTTCAAATGGATTCGTAATAACAAAATTTTATTTTATTTTTTTAATTTTTTCCGAACGTTGATTATCGCTATTATTATTATTATCATCTAAAAAAAGACGTTATTTTGACTTTGGTTGTTTTGTCGGAAAATTAATAAGTGGGAAAAGGTAAACACGTCGTCGTCGTGTTAGCGTCGACCTTGTTTTAAAAGCTTTTCTTTTTTTTTTTTTTTTGTTTTTGGGTGAAAGGTGTCAGTTTCAAAAAGAAAAATTATAAAGGAGTTTATTAAATTAAAACGTGAGTGTGTACGTGCGTGCGTGCGTGCGTGAAAAAGGAAAATTTTTCGAATCGAACGAGAAAGAAAACTCGTTCGTTCGCGTAAAACCATTTTTAGTTTTTTGTTTTTTAATTGAAAAACGCCAAATTCAAGGTTTGTGTAAATTAAAAAAGTTAAATTTCTTGTGGGGAGGAGGGAAGGAGGGGAAAGGGGAGGGAGGTAAGAGCCATAAAAAATATTTTTTTGATAGTTTCCCACGGATTTATTATTATTATTATTATCGCGGGGGAGGGAGGAGTTGCCAAATATAAACACGACGATTTTAAGGCGTTTTTGTTTTTCTGTTTTTCAATGTTAAAAAGGTGATTTAAGTTGTAATAACGTAATCAACACCATTGCTGATTGCAACTAAAAAAAAAAAAGAAATTATGTGGTTTGTGCTTTAACAAACAAAAAAACAAACGAACAAACAAAAAATTGTTAATTTTTGCATGCATGCATGCAACAAAACTTTGATTTATTCAACAAAACAAGTTTTTGTTTTTTTTTTTTTTTTTTGTAATTAAGTAAGAAAAAAAACGTTTATACGAAACGGACGAACGTTATGTAAATTTTTCTTCTGCTAGAAAAATAAAAATAAGGCACGATCGAAATTTATTTATTTATTTTTTTTTTTTTTTAGAAAATATGGAAAGTCACCGTGTCTGGCTTCCTGATCCCCAAGAGGGATTCATCCTGGGGAAAGTGGTCGACATCGGTTTGGGAGAAGTCATGGTCGAACCTTTGGATCCTAAAAAAAAAAAAGTCGTCTGCTCGTTGGATAGAACGTATACGGCCGAGGATTACGACAATAAGGATGTCGACGATAATTGTAAGTGTGTGTGCGTGTGTGTGTGTGGGAACGATGATGATGATGATAATGATGACTTTAATCAAAACGCGTGACGTGCATTTCGATTTAATTTTTTTTTTTTTTTTTTCCATTCTCCGATCCCTAACTGTGAAATTTCTAGAAATTTTCTTTTAGAAAAAAAAAATTTGACGCCGCCCAACGAATTTTAATTTTTAAAAAATTCATAAAAAAATGATATTAAACGCCTTTTAATATCATTATTATCTACTTATCAATCGCTCGTGTTTTATTTATACATTGATAAGACGTAAGTCTTTGTCTCCTCATTCCTTGTTTATTTTTTTTTATTTTTTTTTCGACGGGAAATTTCGGGATTTTCCGCCACTTTGTTGTTTCCATGCGTTTATATAAATCCGGTGTATTAACGATTATTCTCCTGCCACGTTAAAATTATTTTTTTTTTTTTTGAAAAAAGAAAAACTTTCTAATAAATAATAAATTAATTTATTTTTTTCATCACGTAATCGTTTGCAACAACCGCGAAAAACCTCCGTTACCTCCTTGTTTTGTTATTACGTTCAATTCGTGATTCACCTTAGCGAAATCGTATTAATAATAATAATAATATGAGAAATTTGTTTATTATTATTATTATTATTATTATTTCGTCTGCTTTATTCGATGTACAAACACGTGATGTAAGTTGTTTTTTTTTGAATCATGCAGACGATGTGAATTTTTTTTTTTTTAATTAAACAAATCGTATACACGAATACATTGTTAATAAACGCCTGGAAAAAAAATTTTCTCTCTCTCTCTCTTGCTCTCTCTTTCTCTCTCTCTCTCACACACATAGAAAAACTAACTTTAAACTCGACCTCTCATTACGTCAGTATTTCAACCGTTAATTTCGTTTGTTTTGTTATAAATAATCGAGCCGAATAAATTTCCCCCTCCCTGCCTCTCTCTCTCTCTCTCTCTCTCTCTCTCTCTCCGTGAAATTATGAAATAATAATAATAATAATGATAAATGGGGAGTCGGTTAATTCATTTTTTCGAAAACGTTCATCCACATCCACATTTAAAATATTATTATTATTATTATTAGTGATTCATTCACAGTAAAAGATAGAAAGAAAAAAAAATGAATGTCAAATTCGAATGCATCACCCACAAAAAAAAAAATTTTTTTATTTATGGTTTTTTTTTTTTTTAATGACGAAAGGAAACGTTTATTATCCGTTCCATCGTTGACTTAATTCGACAAACAAACAAACAAACAACCAAACAATCGTTCCAGCGAACGAACAAATTTTCGGCTTGGGAAAAAAAAAAAAACAAAACAAAAATTCCTACGGTTTGAATTTTTTTAAAAAAAAAAGAGAGAGAGAGAATAATGGCGGCGTTGATTCGAACGAACGTTTAACAAATTCCAAAACTTTTTTTTCCAGTTTTTTTCTACTCCAGACTTTTCTTTTTCCAAAATTTTTGATTATTTTTCAATCAACAGTCGAAAAGAATTTCGTTCGGTCTTTCGATAATTTTTTTTCAATTTAAATTCTCTCTCTACCCATAAACAATAAACGACGATTATCATCATCATCATCATTAGTATTGATTTATCGATAAATAAATTATTATTAATAATAATAATGATTATTAAATCCATTAAATTTTTTTTTCTCAGGTGCTTTGATGTTTTTAAACGAAGCAACTTTATTAAATAATATTAGAATACGTTATGGAAAAGATAAAATATACGTAAGTTTTTTTTAATAATAATAATAATAATAATAATAATAATAATAATAATAATAATAATAATAATGATCATTAAATAACGGTAAAAATAAAAAAAATTATTAAGTAATTTAATTTTTTGCTAATAAAAAATAGAAAAAAAACGTTTAAACAAAATGAAAAAAAAAAAATATTAAAATTTAAAAAATTACTCTTTGTTGTTTGTTCTTATTATTATTATTATTTCTCTCTCTCTCTCTCTCTCTCTCTCTCTCTCTCTCTCTCGTTCTCACGGAAAGTTAATTATTATAATAATAATTATTATTTTCTTTTGTTTTAATAATTTTAATTCCAGCGGTGAATTTAAATCCGTTCGAGATGGGAGGGTAAGAGAGGGAGGAGGAAAAAGGGAGGGGAAAGTACGTTTTGTTTAAATTTAATATTGAAAATGTGATGGTACCTCACCCCCCCATTTTTTATATTTTTCAGACTTACGTGGCAAATATATTGATAGCAGTTAATCCATATTTTGAAATAAAAGATCTCTATTCGTCATCAACGATAAAAAAATATCAGGGAAAATCTTTGGGAGTTTTACCACCCCACGTATTCGCCATAGGTATGTGGTATTTTGTCGGGGAAGAAGACAAAAATGTCAGAAATAAAGCGTGATTATTATAATTTTTGTTTTTTGGTTCCAGCGGATAAATCCTTTCGTGATATGAAAAGTTTAAAACAATCACAATCGATAATTGTTTCCGGTGAATCCGGTGCTGGGAAAACGGAATCGACAAAATATTTATTGAGATATTTATGCGAATTGTGGGGTTCGACGGCTGGTCCAGTCGAACAAAAAATTTTAGATGGTAATTTTAATTAATTAATTAATTAATTTTGGAACCGAAATAAAAAAAAAAAAAAATTGATTCGATTTTAAATTTTTTTTTAGCCAATCCCGTTTTGGAAGCTTTCGGTAATGCGAAAACGACACGTAATAACAACAGTAGTCGTTTTGGAAAATTCATGGAAGTTCATTTCGATGGTAAATATCAAGTCGTCGGTGGTTTCATATCGCATTATTTACTGGAAAAATCCAGGATTTGCGTTCAGAGTTCGGAGGAAAGGAATTATCACGTTTTTTATTTGCTTTGTGCGGGAGCACCGGAAAAACTTCGCAGGGATTTAAACATAACGAATCCCGATGATTTTCGCGTTCGTATCACCCTTTTTCAAACTAAACTTTTTTTTTTTTTTTTTTTTTTACCCTTTTTCTCGTATCTTATCATCATCATTATTTTTTTCAGTATTTGAATAAGGGTTGCACTCAATATTTTTCAAATCCGTCAACGGAAAAAATGTTAAACGTTAGTCAAAAAAGTGAATGTCATGGGAGAAGGGGCGGACTCAAAGATCCCATGTTGGATGATTTTAAAGATTTTTCATCGATGGATCAAGCACTTTCCAGGCTAGGTATACTCACCGGGGGGGGGGGGGGAAATTGAAAAAAAAATTTTTTTCGAAAAAATTCGATTTGCAATTTTTTTTTTTTTTTTAAGGTTTAACCGATCAAAATAAATTGGAAATATATACGATCGTCGCGGCTGTTTTACATTTGGGAAACGTCGATTTCGAAGACAATCCTCAGGATTCGAAAGGAGGATGTCAGGTGTGTCCCAAATCGGAAAAATCCTTAGCAACGGCTGCGACATTAATGGGAGTCGATAAGGGTGAATTGAGACAAGCACTCGTTTCGAAAGTTATGATGACAAGTAGGGGAGGAATGAAAGGAACGGTCATAATGTAAATTTACCACCACCATTATTATTATTATTATTATTATTATTACTTAAAACCTTTTAAAATTGTTTAATCGGTAATGAAACAAACTTTTTAGGGTACCTTTAAAAGTTTACGAAGCAAACAGTGCGAGGGATGCTTTGGCCAAAGCTTTGTACAGCAATTTATTCGATCACATCGTGAGATCAATTAATAAAAGCATTCCATTTAAAGTTTCCAGTTATTACATTGGAGTTTTAGACATTGCCGGATTCGGTGAGTTGAATCATTTTGATCGAGGGGATGAGGGGACAATTAAAAAAGTATTAATTTTTTTTTTTTTTTTTTTTTTTTTATAGAATATTTCACGGTGAATAGTTTCGAACAATTTTGCATAAATTATTGCAACGAAAAATTACAACAATTTTTCAATCAACGAATTTTAAAAGACGAACAAGAGCTTTACAAGAAAGAAGGATTGAACGTTGATAAAATAGAATTTGTTGATAATCAAGATTGCATCGGTATGTTATTATTCGAACGAATAACATTTGAAAAATGAAAATTTGTATAATTCAAAACCCTTTTTTTTTTTTTTTTTTTTTCGGTTAGATTTGATCGAAACAAAGGTCAATGGAATATTCAACCTTTTGGACGAAGAATCGAAACTTCCCAAGCCAAATCCGGCTCATTTCACGACGGAAGTACATCGTGCTTGGAACGGTCATTTCCGACTCGGATTACCACGTACGTCGAGATTGAAAGCTCATAGGGAAATTCGTGACGATGAGGGTTTTCTCGTCAGGCATTTTGCCGGAGCCGTTTGCTATCAAACGGTAATTAACTCTTCTTAGTTTACCCCAATTGTAAATTTTCCGCCATAACGCTTCGTTTTTCCTTTTTTCCAGAGTCAATTCATAGAGAAAAATAACGACGCACTCCACACGTCTCTCGAGTGTTTAGTACAAGAAAGTAGAAATAAATTCCTTCAAAGTTTGTTTCCGGTAAATAATAATTCACAACAAAAGGGTGGTAAATTGGCTTTCGATAGCGTGGGTTTAAAATTTAAAACTCAACTCGGTGAACTCATGGATAAGCTCGAAAGCACGGTAACATATTTTTTTACTACGAAAAGATTAATTCGAAACAAAAAAAAAAAAACAAAAAATGTAAATATTTGATGTGTTTTGCAAACAGGGCACGAGTTTCGTGAGATGTATAAAACCCAATCAAAAAATGATTGATCATGAATTCGAAGGAGCCAACATTCTATCGCAGCTTCAATGTTCTGGAATGACGTCAGTTTTAGAATTAATGCAAATGGGTTATCCGTCGAGAGCCGTTTTTTCTGATTTGTACAACATGTATCAGAAATACATGACGGATGATTTGAAAAAATTAGATCATAGATTGTTTTGTAAAGTAAGGAAATTTTTTTTTTTTTTTTTGTAACCCACAAGTGTTTGTTACGCTATGATTATGATGACGTCATTTTAACGTTTTTCCGACAGGTACTCCTTCACGCTATGGGAATGAGCGAAAAAGATTACAGTTTCGGTATAACGAAAGTATTTTTCAGACCTGGAAAATTTGCCGAATTCGACATGATAATGAAATCCGATCCGGAAAATTTGAAAAAAATACTCTATAAAGTTAAAAAATGGTTGATTATTCACAGGTGGAAAATTGCTCAATGGTGTGCTTTGTCCGTTATAAAACGTGAGTTTTATAATAAACAAACATTTTCCAAAAAAAAAAAAAAAAAAAAAAAAAAATGAAAATTTTTTATTGATTTTTCTTTTTGTTTTTCTTCAGTGAAAAACAAAATAGGTTACAGAAGGGAAAATTTAATAACCATACAGAAAAATATAAGAATGTTTTTAATGAAAAAAAAACACGGACCGCGTTACAAAACAATTATGAAAACGAAAGGTATTGAATCCATGCTTACGGAAATGGAAACGATGGCTCGACAACTTAAAAACAATAACAAAAACGTTACGGAAACGGAAATTAAAAATTTAAAAACGGAAATCGCGTCGACATGTTTGAAAATTAAGGTTTTTAAATTGTTCTATTATTATTATTATTATTATTTTCGTTCGAAACGTAAAAAAAAAATTTTTTTTTTTTCCAGTCGAATCCATCGATAAAACCGGAAGTGTTGGACGAAACGTACAACAGTTTATTAAATCGTGCTAAAAATCTATTGGGAACGTTACAGAGCATGTTAGTAGAACAGAAAAAAGCAGAAGAACAGGAAAAACTAAGGAAAATACAAGAGGAAATTGAAAAGGAAAGACTTAGAAAATTAGAAGAGGAAAAATTGAAAAAAGAAAACGAAGAACATTTGAAAAAGTATGAAAATTTAATTCAAATTTTTTTCTTTTATTTTATGATAATTAAAAAAAATTTTTGTTTCGCGGGGGTTAAGGAAAGCGGAAATAGAAAACAGGAGAAAATTAGAAGAGAAAATGAGAGAAAAAGATGAATTAAGTCAAAGGGAATTGGAAATACTCAAGGCTGAACAGGAAAAAGAAGAAACTCGTCTTCGTGAACAAATGGAACAGGAAAGGAGAGATCACGAATTAGCATTAAGATTAGCAAACGAATGTAACAGTCAAGTCGAAGAATTTAATTCAACGTCTTCTTCGAAAATGTTTGTTGTTTGTTGTTTGTTTTTCTTTTGTTTTTTTTTTTTTTTTTTCGTTTTATTCCGATCACTAATATGGAAACGTTTAAACAAACATTTAAACAGGGTAAACGGCGGTGGAAAAAATTATACAGGATCAAACAAACAATACGATTTGTCCAAATGGAAATACTCGGAATTAAGGGATACGATAAACACGTCTTGCGATATAGAATTACTCGAAGCGTGCAGACACGAATTTCATAGACGATTGAAAGTGTATCACGCATGGAAAGCCAAAAATAATAAGAAAACAGCTTTAGGACAAAATGAAAGAGTACCAAAAGTACTAATGGAAGAAGGTACGTGTAAAAAATTAATCGTTTTAAGGTTTTAAGGTACACGTCATCATAATCCGTTTGTTTGTTTGTTTGTTTTCAGCGAGTCGAACAACGACGACAAGATTAAATAGTAATAAAGTTTCGGAATCGTTAAACGGTAATAATAATAATAATTCACAAAGGTATTTTCGCATACCTTTCGTTCGTCCGAATATTCATAAAACACCAAACGGACCTGAAAATGGCATAATACACAATCAAACCCTGGGGAAAAAAGGTTGGTGGTATGCTCATTTCGACGGACAATACGTTGCGAGACAAATGGAATTACATCCGGATAAAACTCCCATTTTATTAGTTGCAGGTTTGGAGTTTTTCAAAAAAAGGTTTTTTTCCTTTTTTTTTTTTTTTTAAAAGGCAAAAAGGTATTTGAATTTTAAATCCTTTCAGGTGTCGACGACATGCAAATGTGCGAATTGAGCCTCGAAGAAACGGGTTTGAATAGGAAAAAGGGAGCGGAAATATTAGAACACGAATTCGATAAGGAATGGATCAAACACGGTGGTAAACCTTACGTTAGACCATCACAAAGAATTAAATAAATTAATCATCATCGTCATCATCATCATCATCATTATTATTATTATTATTATTATTATTATTATTACGATAATGACGTACCCGGTTTTGTCATATGTAGCCTATTATATGTCGAAAATGATAATATAAACGCAAATTAGGAAATTAAAAAAACGAATTTTTCCTTTTTTTTTTGTTTTTTTTTAATAAATCGATTAATCGAATTTCGATTCGATTTTCGATAGTAATAATGATAATAATTTTGAGTTTTCTCTATCGGTGCGTATATGATGACGTCTCATCCGAAACAAACAACAAATCGTTAACATATGTTTAAAAAATTACAATTAACGAGCGATTTCGATTCGGCAAAAAAAAATAATAATAATAAAATTAAAACAAACAGACAAACAAACAAACAAACAAACAAAATAACAAACAAAAAAATTATATTTAATAATAATTAAATAATTAAATTTTTTTTTTTAAACTTTTACACTTTACTCGATAAAACATTTAACTTAAAAAAAAAAAAAAATATTAATTACCTTTTATTATTATTATTATTATTATGATCACAATTGATTGAAATTATCGATTAGTATCGATCGATTGGTATCGATTGATTGGCATCGATCGATTGGCTACATCAACTTTTTTTTTTTTTGTCTTTCATCCTATTTAATTTGGTGATGTAATACTTTACAATTAATACATGTAATAACAACTTTCTTTTTTTTTTTTTTTTTTTTTTTCAACTCGATTGATTTTTTTTTTGTTATCGAAACGATTAAAAAAAAAAAAAAAATTATGATTTATGATTGTTGTTATCGAAACAATCAACAACATATTGTTTTTACATACACACATTTAAGAGAAATGAAGAATAATTTGATGAATTTCAATCATTTCCAGCTGCTTTTTCAATGGCTGCTTTTAATGATTTTTCAAAAACTTTTTTCGAATCGCAAAATCCTTGTTTTGTTTTACCAAATGAATTTGGACCAGCCGATGTGGGAGTGTCCCTGATGATGATAATAAAAAGGGAATTTGTTATTAAATTTTTTAATAATAAATAATTTGTTTTCTGTTTGTTTGTTTGTTTGTTTTGTCATCATACCTTCCTATATTTCTCATTCTCATTTTAGCTTCTGGTGGCATTTCTTCAGGTTCTTCATCATCATCACTATTAAATATAGCTGCAGTTGGTCTAAATTTAACCGGTGGTATAGGAACTGCTTGCTTCTATAAAACAGGAAATTGTAAGAATTAAAAATTATTAAACAAAAAAAAATTAACAAAATTTTTTTTTAAAAATATCTTACATTAAAGCCCAGTCTTATTTGAATTCCAGGTTTTGTATTTCCTTTAACATTGGTATTTCCTTTACAATTTTGACCAGACGATTGTTTTCCTGTCAAACCAAAGCTTATTTTTTGCCTTTTAGAATCATCTGGCTTTGAATCGGCACTTGTCCTTTTGTTTGAAATGGAAACTGGCTCGCCATCAACCCTGGAAGACCCTGAGTAACACTGGCAACATGAGATTGGGACATTAGAGTTTGGAGGGGACAAGACCAATAATGGCCCCGTAATATGTCATTAGTCAAATAATTGTCGTCTAATCTTTAAAACTGAATTTTAAAAAATATTTAAAAAATAACAATAAACCTTTTTCATCCGACTCCTTAGAAATTGATCTTTCTTTTGTCGCCATTTTTGAATCACTGCCTTCTAAATTTTTTTTTGTTCTTTTCAAAAATTCGGTCATAGGTATTTTAAAATAAAATTCTTAATTCAGGTGGTCGGTTAAAAAAAAAAAAAAAAAAAAAAAAAAAATGTATTTGGCGCGTTATTAAAAAAAAAAAAATTTTTTTTTTTTTATTAAATAATCATGAATTTACACGGTAGTAGAATATTTTCTTACAAACGAGTTATAAATCGAAATTTTTTAAATATTCCCATTAAAAGTTGTTCTAATTTTATTACTATAAAATATGAGGTTATTTGAAAAAATTTTTTTTCAACTTTTTTTATTAAAAAGTATTAATTAACCGTTAAATAATTATTTGTTTCTTATTATAATTTTATTATTGTAGAAACCTGAACCTACCACTGCTTGTGACAATGCCTTAAAACATTTCGATGATTTTTACAAGGCATTTTTTAATAAAAAATGGCCATCAGTTAGATTAGGATTACTATCTGAACAAAAGAAAATAGCCATTGTTAACAATTTAGGGGATATCGAAGAAACAGTAAAATATTTAGAAAATAAAGGAGCCATCGATATAAAAAACTATTTCGAAGTGCAGAAATCATTTTTGTCAAACAAACATAAGGAAATAAATAATAAAGAGAATAAAAATTTAAATTTGATTGATGATGTTATCAAATCACAATATGAATCTAAAAAAACGGAATTGGAAAATATTTACTGTGGAGTGGAAGATGGTGAAATCACAGCAAAATTTTATAATAATGAAAATGAAGGAGGAAAAATTTCTGTTGAAAAAAAAGAAGATTATGATATTGAAGAATCGATGACATCCATGAACACTGATAAAGCACTTTCTAAAATTAATTATAACAGACTTATATTACCTAATTCTAATTCAAGCGATGCAAATTTACACGAATTTGTACCTGTAACAAAATTGAGGGGTCTCGATGAATACATATCGGAATCGGAATATTTTAAATATTATCAGGTGAAAATTTTGTATTTCAAAAATCAATTCCTACACCTACATGACATAATACAACTCATTCATTTATATATTTCAGCCTAAACCTGATTTTTTTTTTCACATTGAAAAAGAATTTAATTTAAATTTTCCAAAAGATTTATTAGCTTATGTTTTCGATAGAGGAGACATGCGTGAAATTCCAGAAGCGACAAGAGATGAAAACTACATATACAGTAAGTCAATTATTACTTTTTTAATTAAAAAAAAATATTTACAAAACTTTTTTCTCTATCAAATTTTATTAATGCAATTAACAATTTTAATTTTTTTTTTTATTCAGAATATTTATTAATGGATGGAGCAGATTTACTTACGATTTTAGCTTTGGATTTACAATTTGGTGATGCTGTTTTCGATATGATACCTAATTCTGGAACCAAAGCTTTTTCAATACTACAAACAAATTTAGTCAAAATATTAGTTTGTAACACTTGTAACGAAATGGAAGAATTTTTTAAAAATTATTTATTGGATTATTCGCCTGCATGGAAAGATACACTATTATTAACATCAGTCGATTTTGATGATCCCTACTACCACAACTTATTCGATAAAGTATGTTTGAGTCGTTTGTGCGAATACAAAACTTTTATTTATACCAAAATAATTTTTATTTATTTAAATTTTAGATTCTTTTAGATATTTTTTGCACTGATGATAGAGAATGTTTAACAAATCCAGATGATAATTATTACAGCGTTAGAAAATTTAGGGACAGGCTTAAATTACCACAAAATCAAACAATAACATTGGCTAACGCATTGAAAATGGTTAAACCTGGTGGTACTGTCGTTTACACAACTGGAACCATGTCTCCAGTACAAAATGATGGAGTCGTTGATGCAGCTATTAGAATGGTTATGGAAAATTCAGACATGAGATTTTCCGTGAGGTACGTTCATGAATAAAATCAATCGCGTTTAATTTAATTAATAATAATAATAATAATAACGTTTTTCAGGGATTTGTCACCAGCTTTAACATCTACAAATTTATTATTTAATTATGGTAAAAAATTAAATATGAAATATGGTAGTTTAGTCGTACCGTTTCTACCATCCAATTTTGGACCGAGATATTTTTCAAAAATAATAAAACTTGATTGAATTATTAGAAAAAAATTTTTTACTGATATATTACTCGTTTTGAAAATAATAATAATAATAATAATAATAATAAGAAGGCTGAATAAGTTGCGTTTAATTTAATAGTTAATAAGAAATGAATTATGAACACTTTATAAAAATATGTTCTGGAATAATTTACAAATGGAAATAAAATGGATGGTTAATTATATATTATTGTCTACGGCCACTAATAACAAAATTAAACTTTATGCAATATCACTTTGTCAATAAGAGAAAAAGAGAAAAAAGATAAAAAAAAAAAAAAGAAGAACTTGAACGTACCAGTAGTATAAATAAAATTTTTTTTTTTTTTTTTTTTTTTTTTTTTTCTCTCAAATTCAAAATTTAGGTTAAAATTAATATTTTTCGATTAAATTTTATGTGCGTGTGTGTGTATGTGTATGTGTATGCGTATGCGTTAGTGTTTATCTTGTATATTTACGTAAAAAGACGTTGAAGAAAAATGAATTCGAAATTATCGGCCGAAGACGAAGTCGAGGGTGAAGTTTTATTTTTACCACAGTGTCCAAAACCCGTTGACATAGGTAAGAATGATATAAAATGGAAGAGGAAGAAGATAAATTTATATTATTATTATTATTATTATCATTATTATTATTTTTTCAGATGATGGAATTCAAAGAGATATAAAAATAACACAAGAAATATTTGGAGTGATAACTCAATATGGTAACGATTTCGAAGTCATGAGATTTACACTTAAGAACACATTACCCAATGGTATAAAAGTTCAAGTTATGTCTTTAGGAGCTGCTTTGGTCGGTGTCATTGCTCCCGATCGGTAACTTCTTATGGTACCCACTAACCACTTATAAGTAAAAAAAAGGGAAAAAAAATTTTCTTTTTTAATTTTCCCATTTTGAAATATTTTTTTTTAGAAAAGGAGTGTATAAAGATGTCGTTTTGGGATTCGATTCCGTCAACATTTATTATTCCCCGTTAAATCCGGGATTTGGAAGAGTCACGTCTCTATGTCCTCTTCCCTACAATCTCGAAAAGGTAATGAATGATTTGGGAGACTCCTGCTGCTGCTGTTGCTACCACTACCACTACAACGATTTTCTTTTGTCATTTTGTTTCAGGTTGTTTGGGATTGGGATTTCGATAGGGATGAAGGTTCCGTCACGTTCAGTACAAATTTTTACAGGATAGATTTAATATTAAGCGTAAAATATTCATTAAACGTTTGCAACGAAATAATAGTGGATTTGCAAGCTTGCGGTTCGAAAATTGTACCCATAAGTTTAACGAGTCAAGTGAGTCAACCCAGAACATCAACATCATCAACCGTCATTAATAATAATAATAATAATAATATTAAAAATGAAATTTTTTTTTTTTTTTTCTTAAGGTTTATTGGAACATGGCGGGTCATTCGAAGGGTGAAAAAGAATTACGTAAACACGTTCTATCGATTAATTCCGACACGATATGGAAACATTATAATCACAAGTTGAAAAATTTTTATCCAATACACGAAACGGTTTTGGATTTTCGACAACCGACATTCATGGACAACCCAGAAGTAAAATAAAAAAAAAAGTTTAACCGGAAACGGAGAAGAAAACGTATGTCTTTGTCACTTACACTTCCGGTTTTTTTTTAGATATTCGGGAGTAAAAAATTCGAACACGTTTTCGTGTTGACAAAAGGATGCGAAGAAAGAGTCGGATTCGCCGTACGTTTGATACATCCAAGAACTTGCAGATACGTTGAAATATTCACGGATCAACCTTGGATACTTTGCAACACGTTAAATAAACTTCCCAGGCGAGTAGCATCCAAGGAGGATTGTTATAAAGCAACCCCTTGGCAACGTGACGATTTTATTTATTTATTTTTTTTTTTTTTTGACAAAACAGGAAAGATTGGGATCTTAAGGTATGCGACGATGAAGAAGATGATTTTGATTATGGTGAATGTAGCGAAGATGAATCGGATATAGATCCCTGTGCGACGGAACAAGTGTGAGTAAAAAAAAAAAAAACATGTATCAAAACGATTTATCATCATCATCATCATCCGGTAAATAAATAATTAAATTTGTCTTTTTATTCCAGTGACGAATTCCAGGACGAATTGGATGAAATTCCGGGAAAGGGAAAAGCATTGTATAGAAAATTCGGTTCTTTTTGCGTGACGCCTCTGAGTGATCTCTCCGGTTACGATCCTATACTTCGGGCCGGTAAACATTATTCACACAGGATAATTTACAAGGTGGGTATTTATAAAAGATATAAGAGACGGATTAAAAAAGATGATGAAGAATTCGAAGGTGAATATGCCGGAGGTCAGGTTGACGACATAACGGATATAAAAAATGAGTAGTAATAATAATAATAATAATAATAAAAAAAAAACTGTTTCTAAACTAAACTAAAATCAAAATCGTATTCTCTATTGTTTGTTTTCTCTTATTTATTAATTATTTATTTATTTATTTATTATTTAATGGGTTGATTGACGTCGCCATTTATTTTGGCTTTCGTTAAAAAAATGGTGACGACTACAACTATGCAGATTGATGAGATTTTAATGTCTGTTCGACCACAAAAAAAAAAGATGGCGTCATTCTTTGTTTATAATACCGTTAATCGCGATGGTAATAAATTAAAAATTTCAAAGTCTTCTTCTTCTTCTTCTTCTTTAGGTTATTTTTGACAATTAATTATCTTTGTGTGCTTTTGGCTATTTGTTCTTTCAATACGAGTATGCTTTGTCTTTGTTCCGGAGGAAGCATCGCTATTTGCTCGTCTGATAATTGAAGGACTTGCATTATGAGAGCAGCTTTTTCCTGATCTGAAACGGCGTTGCTTAAAGCGTTCGGCGGCATGCCACCGGGTGTAGGCCTTTGAGAAATGGTTCCCGAAGGATTTGGTACCGGAACGGGAGCAGGTTGACGAGGAGGCGGCGTCGGAGTGTTGATTGAAACTCCTGTGGAAAACAAAAAAAAAAAAAATCGTTTAATTGTTGTTTGCGGGGAGAAGTTTGAGACGTCATGGTAGTTTTTTTTTTTTTTGGAAATACCTGAACGTGGATCGACTGCCGGAGTTCTTGGATCTAAATTAGCAGCTGCTCTTGGATCCCTAGGAGGAGCGACGGGCATCGGAACGGGAACTCCAGCTTGACGAGGATCTCTAAGTATCCTGCATTTCCAAAAAGAAAAATTCGTTATTATCATAATTTTATTTTAGTCATAAGAGTGGTTGGAATTCGACTCACATGTCTGGAGCTGGAGCGAAATGTTGATTTTGAATAGGCGGCATGACCGGATGAGGTGCAGGTACTGGAACAGGTGCGGTAAATGGAATTCTTAAATCCGTGTCTGCGTTCGAACTTCTCGCAACTCTCGGATCAACAGGACGTTCTACAGCCTCTGTAATAAAAAAAAATCAGTTCCGACTCTTTCATATTTTTCATTTCCGTTACGAATAATTTACCCGTGTTGTGCTGAGCCTGAGAAGCGAACTCGGGTCGAACGACGGGAGGTTGAGGACCTTTGGAATCTACAGGAAGATTTATTTCCGGTACGACGTTGGCTTTGTGAAGCATGTTCTGAAAATTACAATCGTCGATTTTTTAATTCGAAATCAATTTTTAAACCTTGTCGACAAAAGGTTTCATGTACTCACAACGGCCACGTGAGGATCAACAATACCCATAACCACTTGAGCTTGAAGTAAAGCATAAGCTAATTGTGGATTTTGTAGGAGCATCGTTCTAGCTTCCGATGGATTGTTCTAGAGAGTAATAATTAAAATAAATTTAAATTAGTGTCATTTCATTCGAGTCTTTCATGATGGTAAAATGTAGTGTACAAATAATACTTGAATGCATTGTTTCATTTGTTTCATTAATTCAAACATTTGCTCAGGTGGAAGGGATGCCACTGCTTTGCTTATAGCTTCAGGTACTTTCTCTGCTTCGACATGTTCGAAATTATTGTCTGAGTTTTGAATCGGCTCGTTTGCTTGTATCATATCTAAAATCGAATTAAATTTGAGGTAAAATTTTTTTTAACCAAACTGAAATAGTTTTCATTTCAAATTTTACAAACACTAAATAAGTTGAAACAATGAAATTATTAATAATTATTTATATACCTTCAGTTAAATTTCCAATATCTGAGGCATTAAAAGTAAAAAATTTATATTAGAAATGAATTATAAGAGATTTGAATGAATTTTATAGGTTGTTATTTTAAAATGGTGGAAAGTAAAATTCAGTTGTTAAAATAGCTTACTTTGCATTTCCATTCTTGTTTTTTCATTTGCTGCATTGTCAACTTTCAATACCCTTCCACCGATTTCAAAACCATTTAAATTTCTCATTGCACTGTTGGCAGTTTCTATGTCTTTATATTCACAAAAACCATATCCTTTAGGTTTACCATTTTCTCTGTCGTAAACTAACCTTAAAAAGGAAAAAAAAAAAAATGATTCCATTACACAGAAAATTAAATAAAGTGGGGGGGGGGGGAGCAAAAGAAAAAATGTCAAAACAGTTACACTTACTTAAAAGATAAAACCGGTCCCACTTCGCTGAAAATTTCTTTAAGTTTTTCTTCTGTCAAATCGAACGGAATATTTCCCACTGCGACACACGTATAATTATAATAATAATGATATTAATTTTTGTTTACAATCAAAAAAATTTGAAATGAAATATTTTAGTAATTATCATCTTACCAAAAACGGATCTCATTGAACGTTCTAACATTGTTTGATTACTTTCTGCCATTTTTTTAAAACTTTTGTATATTAAATTAAAAGAAAATATTTATTAAAATTGTTTTGTTAAAAAAAATACTGAAAATCAAATATATAAAATTATGGATGCATATATATATGCATATTAATATGTAAAGTGGCAGCAGATTTTATTTTAACGCGCGCCATTACCGTTACTTTATTTTATTAAGCTTAAAGTGACGGTATTAAAATTAGTGTAACGTATTAATTTTTTCTTTTTTTTTTTTTTTAAGTGCAAAATGAAAAGAATTTATAATTTTTAGTAGTGCTATTGTTTTATTAGTAATCAAGAAATGTAATGAATCAATTTATTCGATTTGACGCGTTAGATTTTATTCAATATTTGAATTATAAAGTTACCACGAGGTATGATGCATCAAATATGTTAAATTTTAACCAGATAAGGTTAGAATAATTTTCTTAACCACGTGGTTTTTTCTTTTTAGGTATTATTTTATATTGTTTAATTATGAATTTACTCATTAAATGACTTTTTATATCGTTGCTGATCACCAGTAAATTTATATTTTGCCTTGATAAACGAAAGTATTGGTAATTGTAATTAATTAATAACGAGACGGGATGACGAGGTTTGCAAGAGCTAAAGGTTCTAAATCTTGCAATGATAAAGTCCCTGAACAGGCATCATCATGGGCTGAACTAAAAAAAAGTGTTGAGTTAAAAACGGAAAGTAATGAGGAATTACCCGGAGAAATCGTTAATCGAATAAAATCGAAACCTGCAACCAAAGAACCAATTAAATGGGCACCGCTTGACGTTGATACAGTTGAAAGTAATTTTTTATTAATTAGAGAACACCATAGGAAAAACAATGTTAAAACCAATGATAAAAGTTTAAACGATGACAGTAAAAATGTAAGTAATAATAATAATAATAATAACTATTCTTCTAATGATAATAAAATTAGTGATGGTAAAAGTGAAAGTAAATTAGTAAATGGTAAAAAAAAAAAGAAAATTAAAAAGAAAAAAACAAATTTAAACGATGGGAATGAAAGTAGTATGAATGAAAATACTTTAACTTCAAATAGTGATGTGGTAAATGTAAATGGTAAAAGTAAAAAAAGGAAATTGAAAAATAATAATGATAATTGTGATAAAGTCGAATGTGATGTGGAAAAAAAAAGACAAAAGAAAATGTCAGATTCTACGAATTCTAAATCGGAATCATTGGAAGAAAATTCTAAACCTGAAAAGAAAAAGAAGAAAAAATTGAAAAAGGAAAATTCTCAAGGAGGGAATGAGAATAAAACAGGAAATGTTAAAAATGCTGCTGCTACTGCTGCTGGGAATTCGAAAAAGGTAAAAAGTAAAAATTTCAAAGGTAATTTTCCAGATAAACGAGTTAAAAATTTTGGCAAGAACAACAACAATAATAATAATAATAAGAATCGTAATGGAAAAAATTTCAAAGAAAAGGATAAATTTCCCAGGAAAAATAATAGTGACGGTACGTTCGTGGAGGAAATCATGGTTAACGGAGAAAAAGTAAAAGTGGTCAAGTTTCAAGGTTTCAATGTTACCCACGACGATGCAGTCAGATTGAAAGAATTGAAAACCGAAATGTACAAGCAGGGAATTCCGAGAGACAAATTAGAAGCCGCGTTGAAATTGGAGAGAAGGAGAGCGGAAAAATCATTGTCGAGATTGAAGAAATCCGTTTGTTTTCACTGTCGCGGTTCGGGTCACGTTTTATCACAGTGTCCGTCATTGACGGAAACGGAAAACACGGGAACGGGAATTTGTTACAAATGCGGATCCACGGAACACTCCGCCATAGAATGCAAAGTCGTGAAAGGATCGAGTTTTCAATTCGCCGAATGTTTCATATGTAAAGAACAGGGACACATAGCGAGACAGTGTCCCGACAATCCCAGGGGTTTGTACCCGCACGGCGGAGCGTGTAGAGAATGCGGTGACGTCACGCATTTAAGGAAAGACTGTCCTAAAACCGTCGTGAAAAAAGAAAAGGAAACGATGACTCTCGGTATAAGAAACGATAGAAACGTTGAAACGCTCGAAGAGGAAATGGTTTTCAACAGAGGAGGAGGAGGAGGAGGGAAAACACCGACGAAAAAAAATGGCGACGTCAATGGAAAAAGGAAATCTCTCGTCAAATTTTAAATTCCTCATGTAAATGAGATCAAAAAAAGATCAAAAACGAAATTTTTCTCCGTTAAAATTCCATTAACGAAAGTAAATATAAAAGTACATAATAATAATAATGATAACGTTAATGGTAAAAATGATAGTAATAATAATGATAATGATAATAGTAATGATGTTTAACAAAGTGAAAACAAATTCCATGAGATATTTAATTTTCGTTCTGATTTAAACGAGGCTAGGTTTTAAAAAAAAATTTTTTTTTTTTTTTTAACGATTCACTTTTATTTTAAAATTAATATTTAAAAAAAATTATTGATCTTAAACCTGTTTGTAGATAAAACAAACACGCACACACACACGTATTCGACGGAAAACACTTGTACGTGCACGTGCACGTGTGTGTGTTTGTTCACTGCATTGATTTAAAATCGACAAAAGAAAGGAAATTATCATTACTATTATTAATATTATTATCATTTTCACTATTTATTACGATAAGTTTTATGTTTAAGTTTTAGCCGGGATTTTTTTTAGCATTCGTTCCCCCCGGGATCTCTACACGATTCCTTGGGGAACGGATATATGTATCTCGATGGTGGTGATGGTGGTGTGCTATCAAAGAATGTGTGTGGGCCTCTTCGAATTTCAATTTGGTGAATGTGGTATGGCTCCCAATGCTCCCACGGTGACCGGAAATGTTTCCGTTTTCGTCCTCGCCAAGTTCTGGCAATTTCTATCTCTTAATCCCTGAGTTTCAGCCTTTTTGTTTATGGTTTTTTAGGCTAATAAGTAGGGATGCTTAAGTTAGTTCACTGTGATAATCAGTTAGTTCTTGGCTCGCGGTTTAGATTTGTTGATCATACAGAACTGTGTATAGACCCGCTGTCGTAATCGGGGTTGGAATGTGGTCGTACCATTCCTTGGCTAGTCCATTCATTCCATATTCACGACAGATATTCCACAACTTATCTACATCAGCTTTTGGATGTAACGCACCATTCATGGTTAATATTTTCCTTGTCCTTCTGTCTGAGTGCGTGATTTCTTCTTTTGTCCAGTCTACGAGGCCAAAACTGTATTCTATTACAGGAACTGCTAATGTGCCGACGGCATTTATCTTATTTCTTCCATTCAGTTCCGACTGTAATATAAGCCTCAATCTTTTAAAATATTCTTTCTTCAATCGAGGTTTAATTTCCTTGTTGGCTATCCCAAGATTTTCTTCAATCCCTAGATATTTGTATGTTGATCCAGGGTCCAATTCTTTAATAAGTTCTTCTCCAGAGTCTTCAGTATTTTCCTTTTGTTTTAACTTTCCTCTGACAATATTAACTTTTGCACATTTTTCCAAACCAAATTTCATGTTGATGTCAGAGGAAAAAGTTTGTATCGTCCTTAACATTTTCTTTAGTTCTTCTTCGCTCTTCGCATATATCTTCAGGTCATCCATGTATAACATATGGGTGATTTTCCTGCCTCCTGGTACCAACTCATATCCTTGATCCTTGATATTAAGCTGTCTGGATAGAGGAATTAAAGACATGCAAAATAAAAGTGGCGACAATGAATCTCCCTGAAAAATTCCTCTTTTTATAAATATTTTTCTAGAAGAGTATTTTTGCACTTCCAGCTGGGTGCACCAATTTTTCATACTCTTCTCGCAGAACGTTGTAATGTTAGGGTCTACTTTATATATTTTCAATGCCTCAATAATCCATTCGTGAGGCACACTATCAAAGGCCTTTTGATAGTCAATCCATGCCATGCATAGATC